CTTGTCAAGTTTTGGTTCCCTGGTCTAATTTATTTAGGTTAAAAACAATCTATGATTAAAACAGATGGTTTTATTTCAATTGTAAAGTGCCTTGGGACCAGAAATTCTGGCAGAGAAAGGCAGAGCTGTGGGAAGTAATTGTGAGTGGCTCACACGAGAGGAGGTGCCTGAAAACGAGCCATATAGCCTTGGCTCCTTTGACTGGTGTTCAGGAGGTCCAAGGCAGCCTCAGCTGCTTCCACTTGCTCTGCTCCATCGGTGGGACTCTGCTTAGCCCCACCAGTGACATGGGGCTGGGCCCCTGACCACTCTCTTATCTCAGGCCAGAGCTTGGCTGAGTCCTCCCCTCCTTCTGAGCTGCCCTCCCACTGAACATCCAGAGGTTCAAGCATCTTAGAGCTGGAAAGGATGGGAGAGAGCACAAGTCCAATTCTTCTCTGTTATGGGTGAAACTGAGTCACAGAGCCAGGAAAAGACTTACCTAAAGACACGCAGGCACTAGTCTCCATGCCTCCAGGCTCTCTCTTCTCTGAACCATCTCCCACACAGCTGCCAAAGAGATTTTCTTAAAGCACAGATCTGACCTCATCACTCCCCTACTCTAGAAGTTCCCATGGCTCCCTCTGGCTTCAATGATCAAATACAAGTCCTGCTGCCTGGTATTTCAAGTCCTTCCCAGTCTGGAATCAGGCCCCATTTCTGACTTTATTAGATGTTCCACTTTATCATGCCCCTTCCCCACTCTCCATGTTCCAGCCAAACAGGACCTCTTTTTGTGCATGTACCAGCCTTAACTGTGGCGGCTGCAGGCACTCCAAGGAAGGAGGGGAAGCCCTGCCTCTGACCTCAGAGGATTCAACAAGATGGCAGCCTTTGAGGAGAGAGGGCCAATTTAGCCTGGAGGCAGCTGCTAGTCTCTGGCCTCAGCCAGGGGTCACCTCAGAGGGATGATCCCAGGCTGCTGGAAGCAGAAGGGGCTGAAGGCATCATGGTGAGCTGGGCCAACCCCTTCACATCAGAGGGGAGGAAGCAGACCCCTGTGGGAGAGGGACCAGGATTCCACAGTTAAAGAAGGGCATTAGGGCTGGTACAAAAAGGCAGGAGAGCATGCCCACTCCCCCCAGGTCCAGCACTCTATCCACTCCCTGTTCTCTGATGGCATTATTCCCTGTTTCCTATGGGCTCATTTTAATTTCAGCCAGATCTCCCTGGGTGGCCCGTGAACACTCATAACAATCCAATCTGGCTCTCTGTGATGTACTAAGAGAGCCTAAAGTAGCCATGTGAGCTGGGTCAGACACTGGTGAGGTGTGGCAAGGGTAGTGAATGTCAAGATGTTAGAAGCCCCCCTGTTTTCCAGAGCTAAGGTCCAGCAAGCAGGCTTTGCCTTGAGCTTGGCATAACCACAATCCTTTGTGCTCACTTTCTGGATGGTCTCACCCTGTGGCAAAACCACAGAATTATTGTACTTCTTTGACCAGTACCAGGTGTTCTCTGAGCTTGGACAAGCACCTGGTGTATCCATGTTCTGGTCATGAAGCCCTGCTAGGAATCAAACTTGCCACCTTGCTGCTGTTACCCCTCATTGTCGGGGCTACAACTCATTGCAGAACCATTGGCGTAAGTATTGAGATCTCCCCACACTGCCTTGGGTCCCCGCCACTAGGGGCAGAGCCCCAGCAAATGTGTCCTTGCTGGCAAGCTGTTTCCCTCACTTTGAAATTAAACTTCTGTTTGATTCCTGACTCTCCTATCTCTGGCCTGCTCTGTTCAGTTCAAGCCACCCACAGGCTAGAGGCTGGCTTTCTCCAATTGACATGACAGAGAGAGACCCAAGGGCACCATATCCTAAGGATTTGGAAGGAGAAATAAAAGTTGCACAGGGAAATGCAGGCTCCTGGAGGGCAAGATCTGTAGTTTTCACTTTCTTGGTATCCCCAGCACTTAGCACAGGACCTGGCACATAGTAGGTGCTTAATAAATATTTATTGACTCACTGAAAGAGGAATTGGAACAGGTGGGATCTTGTTGGGTTGCTTCTGTGGCCTCCCCAGAGGCTTCTGAGTCTGCTCCAGCCTCTTCCCCCAGCCCCATCGTGTGGCCTGCTGTTGCTATGTACACAGCTGGTGCTCAGTGTTTCCTGAGCAAATGAGTCCCTTCGTGAATGTGACTGTACAAATGGTAGAAGCAGATGAATGTGGTGCTCTTGGCTCCCACAGCTCCCACAGCTCAAAGGGGCCTGTTCAGGCTTGAAGCCAGTGCCAGAGAGGTGGAGGCCACAGCAGCACCCCCACTCAGCCGTGCCCGCACAGTGAGATAGCCAGCGGGGACAGCTCCTCCACTCCTTACCCTGTCCCATACATCCCAGGGTAGAGGAGGATCCACACAGGGGCACACCTCCTCTTTGCTACTTGGCCACTCTCTTTGCAATCATTCCACAGGGAGAGGACTTGAGGGTTTCTTAATCTTCTTCTGGTCCCATTGAAAGACCAGGACTGTGCCAGGCTTTGCCATGGAGGGAAGGTGGGCTCTCGATCTTATGCAGACACAAGATACTTCTTTCCTTGTGTGGGGTTAGCAGGGGTGGCCATACATCTTCATGAGTCTTTCACTATGAAACCGGAGGTTTCTAGATGAGGGCACATGGAAGCCATAAGCTCATATATATGTGTGCATATGCACACACACACACACACATACACACACACAGAGACAGAGAGAGACAGAGACAGAGAGACAGAGACAGAGAACCAGAGAAGAGTGAGAATGAGTGTGTGTCAGAGAGACATACAGAGAGAAACATACAAACATTACATACATGTTTGCATGTGTTGGAAGTAATTAGAAGATTAGAAATAAATAATTCTGGCCCCTGAATCTCAAGTAATTATTCTGGAGACTAGGAAAGTAACACTCTGGGACTTTGCCTGGGGTGGTTTAGTGTTCTTTCCAGTTAAAAGAGAAACCCTCATGTGGCCCTTTGGGGGAACCTATCCGCCTCTGGTGGCTTTGTTTGGATGGCGAATTTATCCCCACCACCCCTTGCCCCTCTCCCCTTGTATGGTGTGTCTACACACACACACACGCACACACACACACACACACACTTCTGTGACTCTATATTTAAACACATCCAGGGTGGTGTGGGTGAGATGCCCTGAGTGATTGACCCAGGACAGGCAGGAGGCAGCAAGGGGTCAGGCATGAGACTCATCATTGCCAAGGGAAAGCCCAAGCAGCTTCTCCTCCTCACCACTGATTTCTGGGAAACCCTGGTGCACAACAGCCTTCTGTTCCCAGAGGCCCCAGGGCACAGTGAAGGCTTGGGTTCCTGACCAAGGACTCAGGGCCAATGGCCCCCAATGTGTAGACACAGCAGTGCCCCTCCCTTGTCACAGTCACAAACCAACGTGCCTCCCCAGTCAGTCCTAAGATTTTAACATGTCCCAAGTATGGCAGGTCTGGACACACCTGCCCTCATGTCCATTGACAGAACACAACACACAATAGAGCACATAACACACGAAATAAGAGTGATAACAGCAAATGCATGAAGCTATTCAAGATTTCCAAAGCCCTTTAGACACATCCTCTTGTCTGGTCCTCACAAACACTCCAGAAGGTAGATGAGGCTGGGGGGGGTGTTTCTGGCCTCAGGATTTCATTAATAGTGCTAGGGGGCTCTTACCCCTCACCCCACAAAGACCACAAAACAATGAGGAAAGAGGAAACAAGTGGGTGTAGGTGTTGATTAGGTGAGTGCCAGGAAGATGGGCCCAGCTGTAATTACTGATGCCCTCCCACACGTGCAAACACACCATCATCAAAAGTGCCCCAGCTGTGAACACACCTTCATTAGAGACAAAAGGGGCCTGCAGCTCCATTCAGCTCTATTCCCCAAGTTCACAGTCATCAACAAATGAGCTCAGAGTCACCCAGAGCTAGAATTCCAGACAAAACAAACTTGATTTGGAATATTCCTGCATTGCACAGCCAGAAGGTGAATCAGTATTAAAGTGGCAAGTGAGGTTAGCTTCTGAATTTAGTGGAGGGCCCCAGAGTCCATCCTGGGCCTGGCTGGTCCCTGCTCTGCCCTCAGACCCTCATGGCATCTGCTGAACTCCACCTCTGGACATTCTCACTTTTATGCTGGCTACCCTCAAGTAACCCGACCCTAAACTCCCAGCGGAACTACCTGGCCAAGCCTGGGCCCCATCCACTAAAAGTCTCTACATAGGGCAAATGAGAGAGATTCATTCCAAGGCCTGGGTGACCCCGGGGGATGGATGTTTGGAGAAGAAACAACATGAGAGAACACACTTCCAAGACTTATCTAAGACCCCAGGTTCTGCCTTTGAAATCAATGAGACAATCAGAGAACATCTAACAAAGGCATATGGTGGTCCAGACAACAGGCTAAGAGTGCATTCTCATGCTCCAAATACCAGAGGAATAGAAGCCAAAAGGACCTGGGGCTTGGCTTGTTCCAGCCCCCAGCCCTTGGAGGAGCCCCTAAGAGCAGGGAAGATTTGAAGCCCAAAGTCATTCATCTGATACCAACATCTTCAAGGATAACTGAGTTTCTCTTTGCAACATTCAGAATCAGTGACATGCTCAACAAAAGGTAAAATTACCTTTCCCCATTTATTTTCAGGGTACCACTTGGATAAGAAGGAGAAATGCCTAATCAAGTCCTATTAATTTACCTTTTTAATGTTTTTTGGGCTCCCAAGAACTTCCAAGGCCACTCTGTCTCTCAAACATCTCACTTCAGAGGAGAAAAAAGAGCAGCATCTCTCATACCCCCACTTGACACATCCCTCCCCCACAGTCACAGATGTGCCAAGATGTCCCCTTTGAGCTCGCTTCCTAAGGAGTCCCTGGTCCTTCTCAAGCACTGGGCATGCTCATCATCACCAGCAACTTGCTGAATTTCTGATATTTGGTAGGAAATGCCAAGGATACTGCAAGCATTTCTGTTCACAAATGAGATCACCTACCTTGGCGGGAAGATTCGTCCATCCATCCCACAGTGCTCCAGAACTGTCACATTTAAAATTCAGGGTTTCTTCTGGATGGAGGCTCCCCTCCCCAGGAGCTTTCTGGAAGATTATGCAGCTCATTCCTCTGAAACTTGAAGGCTGGATGACCAAGGCCTCCATCGCTATGTTAGGGGAGACCTGAAAAAAGGGATGGAGAAGTGGGTCTGGGGTCTTCACTTGTAGAACCTCCCTGCATGAGTACGCTTGGGCCATGATGCATGCGCCCAGTGAACATGCATGCCCACTGACTGTTACAGGCAGAATGTATGTAGAAAGAAGCAAATTGTCAGAGAAAGAACTCCAAGTCCAGGGCCCCCTTACTCAGAGCTCACAGCTTGGGAGAACCCAGTTTTCAGAGCCCAAAGACTCTTCCCACGCTATGTGAAGGCTGGATGCTCTCCTGTGCTCCTAGGAACATCCTCCGCTCCAAAGAGCTGCATGAGTTAGCCCCCATTTGCCCCACAAATGAGTCCCACAGTCATCCTGGCCCTCGCTCTGGCCTCTGGTCACCTCTTGAGCTCTCCTCTGCTTTTCAGGGCCCCCTCATTGTGGCTGCCAACTCTTGGCTTATTCATTTCTACAGTCCTTGCCCCTCTCCACCTGAATGGGCTCCCTGGGTGGGAATTCAGACATACATACACAGGTTGTCTAGCCCTAGCCACTCACCAGAGCTTTCTAAAAATACTGTGCCTTTCGGAAACCCAAGCTGTGTCAAGGCGTGTCTCCTCTTTACCCAAGTTTAAAGGAAATCATGTTTCCAACGAGCCAATTTACTGCTGCTAATTACCTTCTGGCTCCCATCCAGAGAGAGCAGATGAGGCTGGCATCATGCGAGAGGCTGGGAGACAGGCCCCAGCTCTCAGTATTTGCCAGCCAAACTTTGCCATGCATCAGCTTCCCCTGCAGTGAACTACAGGTGAGCCTGCCAGGGCTCCAGGACACCCATAGCACTAGCACTCATATTCAGAAAGGGACCAAAAATGAGACCATCTCCTCTTCCCCAAGCTCTGCTGGCCTCCCCTGCACCTCATCCTAGGGCCTCAGCCTAAGGACTGCAGTTCATTACCCCTTGAATATCTCTCCAAACAGCTAGTCTTCCCAGTTCACCCACTTCTGAATTGCCCATGGGAATTCCCACCACTGTTTAATCAGTCTTCCTAAAATGTAGGTCTGATTATGTTACCCTCTTCCCCCATTCGATCCATGCCAGTGGCTCCCTATCGCTTCCAAGATCAAACACAAAATTCTCTGCTTGGTGTTTAAAGCCCTTCACAACCCAACTTCCTCCTACCTTTACAGTCTTCTCACATATCATGCCCCTTTACACACTCAGAGATCTAGTGACTTGGTCCCTTGTTTCTCCCCACAGTTCCCTTCATTTCCTCATCTGAGGTGCATTCCCTGCCCTGGCTGTCCCCCATGACCGGAACCCTCATCTGTCTCCTCTATACCTCTCGGTTTCGCAGGCCTCCTTCAAGTCTCAGTTAAAGTCTCATCTTCTGCAAGAGGCCTTTCCTAGGGGTCCTTAATGCTATTGTCTCCCCTACCAAGGCTCCCCTTAATTTGTCTTGAGTAAATCTTGTTTGTGCAAACTTATTTGCTTGCTGTCTCCTTGTGAGTGGCTATGAGCTCCTAGAGAGCAGGATCCATCTTTTGCCTTTCTTTGTATCTCAAGCACTTAACCTAGGGCCTAGCACATAGTAGGTGCTTCATAAATGCTTGGTGACTGACTAGCTATGTGCTCAGCCTCTTACAGGCATGGTCAGAACATATCTCTTAGGATTCTGGGATCACAGAGCTAGAGGGAAACCCCTCATTTGACAGACAAAGAAACTGAGGCTGGTGAGGGGAACTGGTTCTCCCTGGGTTACATAGGGAATGTGCAGAAGATCCAAGTCATCTGCCCCAGGTCGGGTGCTGTCTCTCTCCCACATGTGGCTTCTCACCATCACCCAGCTGTACCTAGGAGCTGTCCGGAGTCCTGAATCTAAAATTCCTCCCTGTGTAACCACCGCCTCCTCCATTGCTGTTCTCCCACAGCTCTTCTTGAACTTTGCAGTGGCCTCCAATTCTCCTACCCCTCTCTCTTCATCCCCCAAGTCCTTCAAGCCCTGCCTGGGCACACTTTCGCTCTATAGACCCTCTGCCCTTGAACCCCTTGCCCCTTCTCCTATGCCGCTCACATTATATTGACCCCCAAATCTTGGTCCTTCTTTTCTGCTCCTATTTATGGGCTTTTGAACACCTCTGGGGGAATGACACACACTTGATCGCAACTGGATACTCACTACTGCACAACAATACTTTCAGGTCTCCCTGATGGACTCTGAGTTATACTTCCTAAAGGAAATATTTTTAACATTCTTCTATGCTATTATTAATAAATAAGCATTTATTAAGTGCCTACTATGTGCTAGACTCTGTGCTAAGATATTTACAAATGTTATCTCATCTGATGTCCATCTTGGACAGCCTTAAATGCCTGGAAGCTTCTCCTCTCTATGGACTACACTGCCTCCTTGGAACACTCACCCACTGCTTCTAGTCTGCCCTCTGGAGCCAAGAACAAATCTAGCCCTTCGAAGAGCTGAAGAGTCACAGTCTGCCCTTCTCTGGATGCACTCCAGATCACCAGCCTTCTTCATAAAGTGAAGCAAAATGAACAAATCCTTCCGGAATGGAAGCCAGTCCTTGTGTGGCTTGACCAGGCTCGAGTGCAATGGGACTGTCACTCTCCAGTGCTTGGATGCTCATTAGTTATGTAATGCTCTCTTACTCCAGGCTGAGAGGACATCATTGATATAGGTGGACCGGCCATCTTGTTCAGAAGATTGCCTACTAGCCACACCTCCTCCATCATACTTGGGGAGGTGATTTTGGAACCCAGGAGAGAGAATTAACATCCACCTCCCTGAAATGTTAAATTATTAGGTTTGATCCAAGTTCCTTTTGGATCTGTCTTGGTCCCAGGCTCAACAGGTTTCCCTGGTACTATCCAATCAAGGATACTCAGAGTTGATTTCTTAGAACAGGTTTTATTGAAGGACCCATGAAGACAGAGAAATATTAGCCACCTCTACATAGCCTTATTCATTGTCATATAGTCCCCTCTCCCTCTTCCACCCCTAGCAGTCTCAGACTATGGGACAAATTTTTGAGTGCTAGAAGTTTGCTTTATACAAATAGGGATATAGGTTGGAGCTGAGGGGCAACCCTCTCCCACCCCAATTTAGGAGAGGTTCATGGCTTGAACATTTGAACACGGTCTCTAGGCAAAGGATCATGTGGGAAGGACATGGGTTGAACTCAGCTTGACCCTTCTGGTCAAGTGTCAGGCACCTAGCAAGGGCCAGGTGATTTATGGAGGCCTAGAGAAGGTTTCATTGTTCCTGGACCATGTGTGCTACCAGGACAGAGCTAGCTCTATCACCCAACATGCTAGGTATCCCTCCCAGATTTGTCACCTGCACATTTCTGTCCAGGGTACTGCCATCCTACCAAATTTTCGAGTTTACAACCTCAGAGCCATCCCAGACCTTTCCCTCTCCCTCACTAGCCTCCCCTTCACATACACACCTTCTAGGTATGTGGCTTATAAGAAGGAGCCTATAAGCCTGCACTTTGAGCATAGATAGCAGCCACTTGGCCATGTCAGGAATAAAAAACATTGCACCTTCAGTATGTGCGATGACAAAAGTCTCCCTGCTCTCCATACTTTGTGGAAGCAGGAAACACAATTCTTGTTCTTGTTAGTAATTCTTGCAGCCAACTCCCTGGAGAACTTTCCTCACCTCATTAGCTACAGTAACTTGCTTTTACCTCTTCTGAACAACTTCCTCCTTCTCCAGTTTCTCTGGTTTTTCTTTTATTCTTTCTTGGCCTTCTGGGAGCACAAACCATTCCATATCTCTCACACTCTTTAATATCACTGTACTTCCTGGCTCCTTCTTTCCCTGTGGTTGATGAGTGAACATGCCCAAGTATCCTCTTCCTTTGAAAGCCTTTTGCCTGGCCAGCTCTCTCTCAAGTTAGCATCTGATAGTTCTCCTCCCTTTCACCACCAGACTCCACCAAGATGCTGTCTAGCAGCTGTTTCCAATTACCCACCTCCCACTCACTTTCTCTGTTCCTTGAAAGTTGGCTTTCAGCTTCCCTGTGTGACTGAAATGACTCTCTCCAAGGAGATTCATCTTCTTGTAGCTGCTAACTGGAGTGAACTTTTCCCACCCCGCTTCCTCCTTGAGCTCTCTGAAACCCTTGGTTCTGTGACCACCCTCTCCTCCCTTGGCTTCCATGACATGGGCTTTCTTTCTCCCTGTTTGAACTCTCTTTCTCAATCTCTTTGGCTAGATAACTAACCAGTACTAAGCCCCTTAGCTTGGGTACCATCCCAGACTTGGTCCAGGGCCCCATGGTGCCCTCTTTTTCCCTCTTCTCTTTAGACTCAGTGGACTTTAGCCTCTGTGAACTTGAGGATCATCTGTGGCTTGGTAATCTTCAATCTTTCACTGACAACAACTTCCTGGCCATTTCCACAGACCTGTTCCATCAGTCCCTGATGCTCCACAGGTCCTAGAATGCCTCCAATGAGAGGTCATTCCCATGGAATCCTCCCATCCTCCAAATTTTCCTCTATGGGAAGGGGAAGCATCCCCCATCTTTCCAGTACCCTCTGTCCTTGCTTTAGAATTATCCTTAATTCTTCCCTCCCCCCACCACTGTAGCCATCACCTGCCAAGTCTTGTTGATTTACATCCATAACACCCCTCCCATCCATCCCCCTCTTTCAGTTAGTCAGCAAGCATGTATTAAATACTTATTATGCACCAGATGCCGGGATGAGCCCTAGGGATACTCAGAAGACAAAAGCACTGGCCTTGACCTCAAGGACCTCACATTCTAAAGGATGAACAACATGTACAAAATTAAGGCATGCTACATACAGAGTAGAGGGAAGGCAATCTCAGAGAAAAAGGGACTATCCCATTATTTTTTGTGGGGGGGGAAAGTCTGGGGAAAGCCTCCTGCAGAAGGTGGGATATGAGTTGTCTTGAAGAAAGCCAGGGAAGCCAAGAGATAAAACTGAGGAAGGAGAGAATTCAGGCATGGGGGACAACCTAGACAAAGGCATGGAGGTAGGAGATGAAGTCCTCTGGGAGGGGCAGTTAATGGGCCAGTGCAGCTGTACTGTAGAGTATGTGGACACCAGTAAAGTGTTAGAAGTTTGGACAGGCAGGAAGGGGCCAATTTGTGAAGGGCTTGAATCACCAAGCAAAGGACTTTATATGTGATCCTGGAGGTTATTGAGTGTGTGTTGGGGGGGGGGGACACACACAGTGAGACCTGAGCTTTAGGAAAATCCCTTTGGTGGCTGAGTGGAAGATGAATGGGGTAGGCAGAGACCTGGGGCAGGCAGACCCTCCTCTCCCACCAGCAGCCATTGCAATGGTCCAGGCTCAAGCTGAGAAGGATCTGCAGCAGCATCAGCTGAGCAGAGGAGGTGTATTCCAGAAGTATCATGCAGATAAAACCAGCAAGATTTGGCAGAGTGTTGGATATGAGCAGCGAGTGGAGCTAGGAGTCAAGGATCACACCAAGGTTCTTAGCCTGGGGACCAGGAGGATGGTGATGCTCCAGAGTAATGCGAAGGGCTTGGAGAGGAAGCAGAGCATTCTGTTCTGGGTGTTGAGATGCCTGGTGATGTGGGGCTGGAGCTCAGGAGAGAACCTAGGACTGGGTGTGTAATGGGGGGGCATCTTCTAGAGACAAGAACTGAACTACTAACAGCCACCACCATGACTCAAGGCCTTCCCCCTCACCTGCCTGATGGGGCCTGTAAGCCTCTCCCATCTCCAAGCCACCCTCCACAAGGTGCCAAAGTCCCTCAGAGTGAAGGGTCAGACCCCTTTCCTTTCCTCAGGAAGCTTCAGTCCCTCCTTGGCAGTCGCTTGTACACCCTTGCTGCCACTCTCCAGGATGGGGGAGGCAGTTGCCAGGTTCCCAAGGCCTGAGGACTTGTTGAACACTCCTGGCCCACTCCAGGCCTCTAGATCAAGGTGCCCAAGCAGAAAATTCCTTTGTTTTCCCCAAAGAGACAGAGGACAAGAGGCTCCTGTATTTGGAGTCAGAAAGCCTGGTTTGAGCTGTGGCTTTGCTCCTCACTACCCTTCACCCTCAGCTTCCTCATCTGTAAAATGGGGGTGCTAGGCCAGCTCTAATTCAGTTCAAAAAGGCTGGCACAAAGTTGGTGATTAATCAATGTTCATTGACTGACTGATGTAGAGGGGGCAGCTGAAAGGGCTTTGAAGGGAGGGAGGAATGCTCTGGAGCAGAAGTGAAGAGGGAGGTGCTGAGGAGCCTCCCAGGCCCTAAGGCATGTGGTGGGAAAAGGGAACTCATGTTCCTCCAGGGCCCACCTCACTAAGCAGAAACAAAGAAAAGAAAGAGACCCTGTTTGTGGTGGCAGCAGGCCCACTCTTGGGGCAGCCAGATGTTTACCCCATGAGAGATACATGATGCAGGGGTCACTGTCCCCATTTTACAGATGAAGAGACTGAGGTTTAGAGTATTCAGGTCTCCTGTCCACAGGCAGGAAACTCCCAAGTGTCTGAGGTCAGCTTTGGGTTCATGTCTCTGCTGCCTCCACACACAGGGCTGTTTCTACTAAAACTTGTCTTTTCTGAGGATCTGAGCTCTCTGGAAGAACCCCTTAAGCAAAGTGGGGCCTGAGGCCCAAGTTACAGTCTTCCTTCCAGCCCAGCAGCAGCCCTGTGACCTCTGCATCACAGCCCTCCCCATCCCCCCACCTGCCACAGACAGCCTCATTTTGGCCTTGTGGTCACTTCAGGGGTGGAATAAAGAGGGAGGATCATCAGTTGCTTCTCAGAAGCCTCTGAAAAAAGCAATGGGGCCATGTTTGTCAGTGACAAGCAGGGCCCTGAACCACGAAGGCCCATGATCAAGGGGCACCAGACTGACTGGAACAAATGTGGCTGTGAAAGAGCTTGTGCATATGCATGTACACACACACACACACACACACACACACACACACACACACACACCAGGTCAGGCTTCACAGAGAAGCATGGAACCAGATATTCTGAGGGTTATTCTTTCTCAGGTAGTTCAGAGAGATCTGGGGCTTCACAAAGCTGGAGCCAGTCTTGCCAGCCAGCACCCATGGTGAAGGGCTGACCCCTGGCTATTGACCAACATCAACCTTTTTGTTAATATTGCCCTTAATTGGGGGGGGTCTTCCCCCTTTCAGATGGAGCTTCAGGAAGAAAAAAAAAGGACCAGGGGGCACTGTAGACACAAGTCTCCAGGGAAATGGGTTTCCCCAATTACTCATTTTGTAGGAGTCCATGGCTAATGCAGAGAATAACTTACTATCAATGTGACATCCCTGCACACTGGAGGATGCCCCTGGCCCAGCACAAGCTGCATCAATGGAATGGAGCATGCACCTCCTGGTGCCCAGGGTCACCCAAGAGCCTGGTAGGCAGAGGAATGCCCATGACCTTTTGGTGCTCAGTTTTGAGGCTGTCTGGGCATTGTGGGCAAGGATGCAGGACGTGCAGGCATTGTAATGGGGCGCCACTCACAACCACTGCTTCCAATCCCTCATGGCACCGCATCAAGGAAGCCCCAGAAAAGGTACCTGGGACAATGCCCTCGCACCGAGACTCAAAGCCTGGTCAGCCACTCGCTCAATGCATTGCAGGATTCTCGTGCAGGCTTTATCCTCATTCTGTGCTGCCCACAGTACGTGATCATCAACTAACATGAGGTTGCTCGAAATCTGGACCAGAGCATCTCTGAGCTACAGGAAAGAAGAAACCAAGGGCTGTGTGAGAGCCATGTTAGCATGCCCCCCGGGCAGACAGACAGACTGCATGGAACAAACAAGCCCACTCACTCTGCTCAATGCCATAGGAAGAAAGGATTGGTCCAGGAGTAGAAGTGTTCACTGGAGCCTGCCTCAGCTCCTTACTAACTCCTTGCCTGACTCTGGGCAAGGAGCTTGTCCTCTTGGTCTCAGTTTCCTCGCTGGTGAAATGAAAGGGTGAAATTTGGTCCTTTTTAAGGTCCCTTCCCACTCCCATTTCTGGGAAACTAATTACATTAGACCCAACTCACCCAGCTGTTCATGTCCTCACATGGTCTTTATGGGAAATGCCAGGAACCTATTAATCCAATTCAATAAGCATTCATGAGGCACCTACTATGTGCCAGGCACTGTGCTAAGCTCGGAGGAGACAATTAATAAAAGAAAGACAATTTCTGCCTTCAAGGAGCCTAATGTGGGAGACAACACAAAAGGAGGCAGGAAAGGGACGAGGAGGTGACTCAGCCGATGAGCACCTTGTGCCTGGAGCTGCAGTCAGGTAGGGCGGCAGGGACAAAGTGGAGTGAGCTAAGTCCAGTGTCTGCCCTCAATAAATGAAGGCATTTGGAGGGGTTCGGACTCTGCCCTCCAGCCTCCAGTAGAGGGGAGGGGAGGCTGAGGCAGGCAGTATCAATCAAGGCTTGAGTCAGCAGCACGTGATGAGATTAGAAGTGACCTCTAAACCTGGGAGAGGCATCTCTGTGGAGTTGAAAATGGCAGGGCAGCAGCTTCAGAGTGGAGGGTATATTAGATTATTGGATATTGGAGAGAAGGCCGACATGAGGTCAGGGGACCTGGCTTCAGATCTGGCTCTCACATACAGTTACTGCTGCGCGCCCTTGGACAGCTGCACAACTCCGGGGCTCACCTGCAGAAGATGGAGGGCACTGTCCACCCTCATGGTGCTGAAGTGGGGACCATGTGAGCCTGGCCATGCCTGGCTCTCTCTCTATCTAGGGCTTCCTCATAGATGACGTGAACCTATCCCTGTGCAGGGAGGAGTGATACATAGCTTCTCTTCTGTCCAGATACAGTTTTTCAGCTTATTCATCCAAGAAGGGACAGTGTCTCCTACTCCTGTGCCTTCCACAGTCAGATAACAAATACTGCTTGAGAAAATTAATGAAAACCCACTGGAATCAAGAATCGGGGTCTTCCTCCTGGGGTGTAACTAAGTGTTGGAGGAAGACGAATCAGCCTAGAGTAGGATCAGAGCATCTGTCTTCTCACTTCAAATATCCCCAAGGGGTGTAAAGGATGTTAACATACCCAGCCAACCCCAGGGTTTAGTCTGGTGCTAAATGTTGTATGCAAGGAACATGGGGAGAAGAAGGATGGAAGCCACTGTGGAACAAGCCAAGGTTCATTCTGGGCACTGTAAGAGTAGTGGGTGTGTATTATGGCACACAAGAGGAGGAGGAGGAGGAGGAAGAAACTCTGGGTGGCCATGAGAAGCAGGCACCAGTGCAGGGAAGCTGGTATAGATGAGGCTGAGGGCAGCCTGGCCATGCTGGGGACAAAGTCCTCTCAGGGGGCTTACATTCTGCTGGCTGGAAATGTCACAAAGACATAGAAACCAGGTAGGAAGTGATTTGGGAGAGGGGGAAGAACATTAACAATTGTGAGGGAGGGGGGAGGGGATGAAGAAAGCCCTTGGAGGGAGGGAGGGATTCCAAGAGGTGAGGGTGAAAGGCATTCTAGGCATGAGGGATAGACTACAAAGGTCTGGAGGTGGGATCATTGAAGGTTGGGGTCTTGAAAGGGATGTTCAGTGACAGGAGGAAGGTGAATGGGATTCAGTTGTAGAGGGCTGTCTGTCAGAGCATCTAAGGGTTTCCTGAGGGCAGAAAGTGAAGCCAGAGCAGAGGGGACAGCCTGGGAAAAGGGGAAGGCATCAAGGGGCAGGGGTCTTGGGAAGGGGGTCCTTCTCAGTCTCATGTTCCTGCCCACAGCAACAATGAATGAATCTATCCACTGAGGCAGGAAGGAGGTTGGACTTTGAGCCCCCAGTGATGGCAGCTCCAGCTACCCCAGGCACGCCCCTGACACTGGGGAGCTCATGGTTTGCGGTGATTTGGCTCCTTGATTTTCCCCTGTGTCTCTTTTCTTGTCACTCCTCCTGTTGTTCATATTTGCCAGGCCAAGAGCATGTTGCTAGTGGAAAGAAGAAAGACTATTTTTGATGCACCCTCCACGGGGAGCTGCCTATGCCTTGACCCTTCGTCCATCCCTTGTCCAAAATGAATCCATTTCAGACTTCCTCACCTTGACTGCTTATTTTTGTACAATGTTCCCTTCAGTACAAATGTGTAACCCCATCTCTTTGGGAAATCGCTTCTCTTTCAAACTACTTTGGGTCAAAATGAAAAACACTGAGGTTAAAAAACACTTAATGTAAACAGAGAGAAGCAGGGAGGCAGGTATGATTCCCCAGCCCTGCCCCCCCTGACCAGGGAAAGGTCAGCAACAACCCACAGCATGTCTGGCACTGAACATGAGCTCAAACTCTACCCATCTGAGCATGGCCTCTGTTAGACTGGGAGCTCCTTGAGGTCAGGCACCGGCTGTATCCAGACCTTGGATATTTGCCAGCAGGAAGCCCAGGGCTTGTCTCACCAGGCAGGTGAATGAATTATGACCCTCCCCCCCACCCCGTGTGAGGGGGAAGGGGGTCCAGCCATGCTTGCATCCCTCGGCTGTGATTTCTGTAGCTATAAATAGATACTTTCCAAGGAAGGTCCTGAGATGTACACACACAATTCCCTGGAGGTCTGGGAGAAGTGAATCCTGCAGTCAGATTGAATTATGAGTCTTCGATGCGTTCAGGCTCCCTCAGAAAAATCATTTTGAACTCTGTAGATTGTAGGGCATTAAGGAATTCTGGATGAATTTGGTTTTCCATTTTAGGGGCTACCTGAACAGTTGCCCCAAGTTTCTAGACATCACAGGCTGTAGTCTTCAGTTCAGTCCCACAGAGGAAGGTAGGTGGATCTAGCAAATCCCTTGTATCTAGGGCTGGGCATGGGAAGAGCTGGGAACTCCACCCATTTACCCCTCTCTGGTCTTCAGTTTCCACATTTGTAGGAGTGCGGAGGCCAGAAAGATGGCCCAGAGGCTCCTTCCAGCTCTAGGAGTCTCTGACCCTGTGTAGGGGTCAAGATCCTGCTGGGTTCTGGGTGAAGCCAGGTTGCTTGTGGAGAAATATAAAACTGAGTGTTTAATTATGGGTGCTTGTCTCAACTATGTTACAGATGAGGAGAAGTGTTGTGAGGGATGATGTCCCAGAAGGAGGCAAGGGAGGGTCCAGATGTGGAGGTGATTCTGAACTGCTGAAAGGTTGAGATGCCCCACAGGGTCCTGCTTCCCAAACTTGTCTCAGAAGCTCAAGGTCTTCTGTCACAAGAGGGCAGTGTAGGGCCCCCAATGGGGCGGGGCTGGTCGGTGTCAGGGCACTAAGGCTGAATCACGGCTGGTCAGTGTGTTGATCAGTTTCTAAGTCTTCCAAAGATGATTCTCTTTGCAATATTGCTGTGATTGTAGAAATGGTTCCCCTGGTTCTGCTCTGTTCTTTCCACATCAGTTCATACAAGTCTTCCCAGGTTTCTCTGAAACATTCCTCTTCACCATTTCTTAGAGCGCAGTAGTTAATTCCGTCACATTGATACACCATAACTTGTCCAGCCATTCCCCAACTATTGTCTCTATGCCCGCCCCTGGCCCCTAGTTTCTAGGTGTTCTTGGTGCTCAGATGGGTCTGGGAGCCTGCCAGTGTGGGCTCAGTGAAGATGCCAGCTCCTTTGGCCTTCTTTTCTCATCGAGACTGATGCTTATTCCCATTTTGCTGCATGTTCTCTAAGGAGGTGTTCCCCAAAGTTCTAGAAGGGGCCTTCTTTCTGGACTTCCTTTGGTTTATATCAGAGGCCCAACACAACTTTTTCTGTGTGTGTGTGTGGGGAGGGGTTCATTTGTGTCCCTCCTTTGGCACTGAATGCCTGTTCTTCCATATTCCTGGTGTCTTCAGTATCATTTTAATAGTGATTATAACATAACAACAGTCATAAGCTGGCAACAGCTGATATTTATATGGAGGAATAAAAAAACATTTATAAAGAACTTACTGTATGCCAGGCCAGGGCCTATTGCTGAGGGGTTTCCTGCACTAAAAGTGGAGTTGTCAATGTCCCCCCACCCCCAGAGCAGGAGAGCTGCTGGTCCGGTGATCCTCTGGGTCCATGAATGTCTCCCAGACTTATCATCAGAGTCCTGAGCAGCAGCCCTGGTGCCCAGGGGGCTCCAAGTGAATTGGGTCAAACAAAGGGGTGGTTAAACATTGGGAGCAGGGGGGCTGCTTGTGATGAGATGGCCCCCAGCCCCTTGGCTGCCTGCTTACCTTGGTAGCAGTGGTGGGCAGGCAGGCAGGCAAAGGGGCTTTGGCGAAGCACTAAAAGTGCACTGGGAGATTCACATGAGGGAAAGCCTCCACGGCATCCCATGGAGCAAAACGCCAACAACAGTGGGAGGCGGTGTCTTTAATAAATCAGACTGACACCCTTCAGTTACAAATTATCTGAAGTGAAGCCTCGTCCTCGGGATAGATACCATTTTTTTCTGTTGGGCTCAGGCTTCCGATAGGGGTGTCTGCATGCAACGATGTCATCTCTATGGAGATTCATTCTGATCCTATTTTTATTTTGTCTGTCTCAACACATGAAGATTGACTGCCTGGCGGCAAACTCTCATTATAAACAGGGCAGGCATCACCAGGATGTCAGCAAAGCATCCTTGGCTCAGAATCCTCCACAACCCAGACCACACAGAGCGCAGAAGGAGGGGGCCAGGGACACCTCACAAGTCTGAGTCTAGGCCAAGATGCACAACCCATCTGTCATCAGGCTGGCTCTGACCCCGCTTCTGAGAGGTTGGGAGTATCAGTAACATTGTTGAAAGTGCAGTAAAGCCCCTCACAGCCCATGGACAGGATGGAGAACACCCAGGGGCACAGGTAGAATTGACCAGTTCAAAGAGTAATTAATCATCAATTGTTCCACATCTACTTGGAACGTGTCCGATGGAATGCCCCAGTAGGCTCCCGTGCTACTGAACGTTTTTATCAATGAGTCGGCAAAGTCATAGGTAGACCAGGCACTACACTAATAGGTGGTATGCTAACTGAATTTGCAGGTGAGGCCATGGTGGGAAGAACAGCAAATACACTGGGGGACAGGGAGGACACTAGGTCAAAGCCACAAAGAAGACAAGTAATAAGAATAAATGTCAAATATTACCCTGAGGGTCAAACTATCGGCCTCCCAACTTTGGCTGGATGAGAGTTTGTCTGAAAAGGAGATTTGGGGGGTTTGGTGGCTACAATGGGATTCAGCAGAGGTTGAGTGTGAATATCAGCCTGGGGTAATGTCAGTGTAGAAGGGAGTGGGCAAGGAGGACCAGGTCCCCTCTGTTCTGTGGCATGGGATTCAGTTCTTGGCTCCACATTTTAGGAGGAACTTGGATGAGTAGCAGAGACAAGGAGAGGGTGGCCAGGATTAGGACGCTGAGTCATGAGCAGATGACTTAACGGAAATGGGCATGTTGACCCCAGAGAAAAGAAGATTCTGGGGAGGAGGGAACACATTCATTATGCACCTACTGTGTGCCAGGTATGGTGCTAAGTGCTTTACAGATATTATCCTACTCAGTCTTCACCACAACTCTGATAGAAGCAGGGTTAGAAGCAGGTGAGACATCTTCACTAAACGAAGGGCTATCCAGTGGGAGAGAAATGAGCCTTGATGGGCTTAGAACCCCCTAGGACAGAGACCAGAGCATGGGAGGGTGGAGCAGGAGGTCTGTTAGAGCCATTCAGGAGGATAACCCTCATGCTGAGAGCTGTCCCATAGTGGGCTGGGCTGCCTCTGGAGATGGGGGCTACCTCTCCAAGAAGGGACCAATGGGCACTTGCTAGGCCCATGGAAAGAAAGGTGTTGGGGGCAGCTAGGCGGCACAGTGGATAGAGCACTGGTCCTGAAGTCAGTTCAAATCTGGCCTCAGGCCAAACACTTGACACTTACTAAGTGTGTGACCCTGGGCAAGTCACTTAACCCCAATTGCCTAAAAATAATAAAAAAAAAGGAGGGTATTGGTGTTTTTGCAGGCTCTGCCAGGGGTGAGGTTTTGAGGCTGGGAAGACCCAGAGAAGGTGATGTACTTGCCTTGGGTCATTTGGCAATCCATCCAAAAAGCCTTGGTCAGGCCATTCTCTCCTAGTCCACATCTAGTGGCCTCCTTAGCACAGGCACACCCAAGTTGTCGCAGAATTCTCCAAGCCAGTCTGACTCTCCTGCAGCTCAGGCTGAGTACTGAGCAAACACATACATGGGAAGTGCTTAGGGGAGGGAATGGGCATCCCAGGTGACTGAGTGTGAGGAGAAGCTGCTGTCCTTAGCCCTGACAAGGGAGACAGGCACAGTACTGCACATCTGGGAGGAGAAGGGGGATGAGGCTTCTCTCATGTTTGAATGGCAGCTACCTGGCATTAGGCAGTGAGCCCATGTCCTGCTCTGGGGTCAGCCTCTTACTCAGAGGTCAGAGGACACTTGCTGCTGGGGAGTGTTTGTCCCCACACATACACACACAAGGACAGGGTCAGACACCAAACAGAAATGTGGACGGTTCCCCAAACTCTATTATTTCACCTGCACGCAGACCCCCTCCAGCCCCTATGTTACCCTGCTCTGCCCACCCCCCTCTCTACCCCCCAGGACACTTTGCCAACAGAAATGTCTTACTTCTTTGACTTCATCCACGAAGGCCAGTAACTTCTCCATCATCTGGGCCAGGTGGATGACATCCATCTTCCCAGCAAACTTGGAAGCACCTCGAGTGTAGGCAGCCAGATGGAGGGAGAACTCCCCTGCATTGGTGGCGTTGATATACATCTGAAAGGACATCAGAGCCTGACATCAGAAGCATCCATCAGTCATTCCTTGTTAGTAGAGGCCAGACTATGTATGGGAGGGAAGGGAGTCTGAGAGTCATGCCCCTTCTGAAGTCAGTGTTTGCCAAATCTGTTTTGTCAAAGCCTCAGTCTTCCAGGACAAGACAGCAGGTAACACCCTCTCTCCTTCCCCCCTCCCCACATCCCAGGGTCAGTCATTGGATGGTCCTACATATTCCAGTCTTACCCCTAGAAGGGGATTCCTTTGGAAGATAGCAATCAATCAAAACATTATTAAGCACCTACGGAGTGCCCGGCACTCTGCCAAGCTCGGGATAGATACCATTTTTTTTTCAGTTGGGTTCAGGCTTCCCATAAGCTCGACTCAGGTGGTGGGGAGATGGTTACCTCCCTTGCGATAAATACAGACTTTCTCCTCAGGAGGAGGGTAAGTGCCTGCTTGTCTCTGGTTGACCATGATGGGCTGCTGTGACAACTTAGGATGGCCTCTGGGATAAGAAAGGATCTTTCTTCTTCCCTTAAAATTCCCAAAGCCAGGAAGAGGACAATGAGACTCAGTCAGACTTTAGGATTCGGGGGTTGGCCACTCCCGTGTTAAGGATGATTCTGGAAGTCAAAGGCTTTTGAGCCGCTTAGGGGGGTGGGAATCGATAGGCCACTGGGCAGACTGTGCCCTGGGCTCCCCTATATCTACTATCACTAGAAATTCTACTAAGTGAAAATGTCAGTATTACCTGTTCTGTCTCCTCACCCCTGGGCTGGACCTGAGACCCAGTGGTTAGCAGTGCTTACAACAAAGCTTACAACCCTATGAGTATTATTCCCATTTTACAACTGAGGAAACTGAGGCAGAGAAGGTGGCTTGCCCAGGGCCACATAGCTCTGAGGATGGATTTGAACTTGGGTCTTTGACACCAGGTCCAGTGCTCTAACCACTGGGCAACCTAGTTGCTTCACATCAGTGTTTGGCAGCATGCACACAAGACCCCCAAAGGAAGAGAGTCCAGAAGTGCAGTGGGGAGCCCAGAGTCTGCCACTTCCTTCTCCTCCTCCTTCTGGCCCAGGTGTCGGGGGAGGCCAGGAGGGTGTGAACAGGGCTGCAGAAGACATTCAGAGGAACAAGGGTATATGGGAGCAAGCCAGGCCTCTGAGAATGCCCTACAGTGGGGGCAGCAGGAGAGGGCTGAGAGGACAGAAGCGGGTTTGAGGGGGACCCAGTGGAAGAAGTGGGCAGATCTGATGGAGACTTGGGAGGGGGCAGGCTCCAAGACATGGGGCTGACAGGATGAGGAGAGCCGCTGGCCGGCCCTAGAGATGATTTTTCATTAGGTAGCTGGGGATTCTGGGAAACCTGGGAGAGGAAGAGGTGGGAGCGAGCTAGCCACAAAGCCAGCTAAGCATGAGCTGCCTGCCTGCCTGCCTGTCCAGCCGCCCGCAGATCGACGTCCTCAAATCAAAACTAGTGCCAGTGCGCTGTCCCTCCCTTCTTCCAGGAGCCGCTGACCTGCCAGCCTGTCTGCTGGGATGAGCTTCTTCCTGGCAGGATGTGCTGCCCACCCCCACCACCCCCGCCATCCCCTCTGCCTGTGCCCAGGAGCAGCTCCATGGCGAGGCCCACCCAGCCTGACATCCTGCCTTGGCCCTCCTGGTCACACCGTGCCCACAGCGGGAGCCCCCAGGATGGGGGTGAGGGCTCACCTACCGTAGCAAAGGCAAGGAGTACCCGTGTGACTTCTTGGGAAGGAGGGCACTCGGAGAGGTCGGCGACATCCCAGTGGCCAGCCCGGCCACACCCGCGCCAAGCCCTGGGCTCCTTGGGACCGCTGTGAAGGGATACCAGGCTCAGGGAAAAGGGAAGGCAGGGGTGGGAGGCTGTCACCCCCGCCAAGGTTCTGGGCCACCTAGAAACAACAGAGATGTGGAGAACTTCAGGAATGTTCTTCCTCAGAGTCTGGAAGAGCCACTCGGGGCCTCTAGGGAGCCTGAGGGACACAGGGAGACACTTCAGGTGGCCCCTGCTTGGTGCCCTTTAGGGCCCCAAGGATGAGACCCAGCTAGGAAATGTGGCCTGGCTCAGGAGGGGCATAGGCCCGTTCTCAGACTTGGAGGGTCCTGGGAAACCATTGAGTCCAGACTGAGGCACAGAGAAGTTCAGTAACTTTCCCAGGGTCATGCAGCTAGGGTGTTTGAGGAGGGATTTGAACCCAGGTCTTCGGATTCCTGGTCCGGCATGCTAGCCACTACTCCAAGGCCTCCGCATATCCGCTTCTGGGGTTTTAAAGACTGGGGCTGTCTCTGAATGAGGGACTGCCTGAAGACCGAGGGGTTAGAGGAAAAGCTGCTCTGAACTGAGACACCAGCTCAGTCATTCTGCAGTGTAACCACCAAGGGGGCTTTTTACCCGAGGGTAGTTTGTGTTCATGTGTGAGTATGAGTGTGTGTGTGTGTGTGTGTGTGTGTGTGTGTGTGTGTGTGTAAACGTGGAGGTGGGGTGGCAATGGTATTTTTCCCTCCTCTTAAAGGATGGTGTTTATGGTAGGATCACAAGACAAGGTCAACACATTCTCCTGAGGGGGAAGTTCAAAGACACTGTTCGTGAACCCCAAATTCCTCTGTCAAGGAGGAATTCTGAATTCTCCCTGCATGGTCCCTGAATCCAGCCTTCTAAGCAGAGGGGGGAATGTTTCTGGTCAGTGCCAGATTTGGGAATGCCTCATGGATAACCCCAAGAGTGAGAGTTCCTGACGTTAGGAGCTGGTCACCAGTCTCCTCAACAGCTTGTTGGAGAAGGAAGACCACCAACATGGCTGTTGCAGCAGGAAGACTGGAACCTCAATGAGGGTGGGCCAGACATTTTCTCAGAGTGTGGAATGAAGGCTGTTCTATTCCTGATATGTCTCTAGTGCCTGGGCAGGAGCTGGGGACCTGTCACCCAACTACACTTAGGGCAATCTTTTTTCAAGATTGGGGGTCACAGGGGCAGCTAGGTGGCACAGTGGATAGAGTACAGGCCCTGGAGTCAGGAGGACCTGAGTTCAAATCTGACCTCAGACACTTAACACTTACTAGCTGTGTGACCTTGGGCAAGTCACTTAAACCCATTGCCTAGCCAAAAAAAAAAGAAAAGAAAAGATTGGGGGTCACACAGAGAGAAAGTAAACCTGTGGAGTCAGACTCCACGATGAAACCTGGCCCATGGGAGCTGGGAGATGGAAAATACCCCAGAACAAGAACTAGTGGTCACTAAGCTTCAACATGGACTCTTCACCCCATTTTCAACTTAAAAACTCAGATGCACTCTCTGTGCTGTTGGAGGAGAGTGTCCTGAGACAGAGCAAAGTAACTAATTCATTTCAATTCCCAATAAAGTTAAGCCGTGAGGAAAAATTACCTTCATTCCCCACAGTTCGCTAAGCAGCCAAGCAGAAGGCAGTGCAGGGAGAGAGGACACAGACAAGAAAATGAGCTGAGTTAATGAAAAATTTAAACTAACGAGGACCAGCTCATTTCCCCAAAGACATCTCAGAAAAGAGGGAAGAAGGTCTGAAGCAGGCCATGCATCACTGAATAAACTGAATTGTGAAGACACTGTGGTTTTAATCCCAATATCTGAGAATACATTTTTGTTATATTCTATATTTATTTATTTATAATCAGAATATTTTATTTTCCAATGTTTTAACATTTTTATTTAACGTTTTTAGTTCCAAATTCCCTCCCTCCTTGAGACGGTAAGCAGATATAGGTTATACATGTGCAATTATATAAAACATTTCCATATTAGTCATTTTATACAAGAAGACTGAAAAAAAAGAAAAAAAATGAAAGAAGACAAGTGAAAACTAGCCTGCTTCAGTCTGAATTCAGACAGTGTCCATTCTTCCTCCGGAGGCAAATTGTCTGCTTCATTATGAGTCCTTTGGGATTGTCTTGGATCATTGCATTGCTGAGAACAGCTAAGTCATTCATGGTTCTTCATTGTACAATGTTCTCCTGGTTCTATTCACTTCACTCAGCCTCAGTTCATACAAGTGTTTCCAGGTTTTTCTGAAGTCAGCCTACTCATCATTTCTTATAGCACAATAATACTCCATTACATTCATAGACCACCACTAGTTCAGCCATTCCCCAATTGATGGACATCCCCTCAATTTCCAGTTCTTTGCCACCACAAAAAGAGCTGCTATAAATATTTTTGTACAAATAGGTCTTTTTCCTTTAAAAAAATATCTCTTTGGGATATAGACCTAGGAGTGGTAATGCTGGATCACAATGTATGCACAGTTGTATAGCCCTTTGGGCATAGTTCTGAATTGCTCTCCAAAATGGTTGAATCAGTTCAACACACCACCAACAGTGCATTAGTGTTCCAGTTTTCCCATATCCCCTCCAACAACCAACATTGTCCTTTTTTTGTCATATTAGATATTCTGAAAAGTGCATTTCTCTAATCAATAGTGATTTAGAGCATTTTTATGACTATGGATAGCTTTGATTTCTTTGTCTAAAAACTGCCCTTTCATAATCCTTTGATCATTTATCAACGGGGAATGACTTGCATTTTTATAAATTTGACTCAATTCTCTATATAGTTGGAAAATGAGGCCTTTATGAGAGATACTTGCTGCAAAATTTTTTTTCCCAGTTGAGAAGGCATTTTTCAAAGCCTGCTCAAAGCAGAGGCAAGAGGAGGCATGGGTGGGATCCGGTGGCCTCATGCTGCACATCCAAGCTTGCTCGTTCTTTCCCCCATCGCTCAATTCTGCAGATTTCTCCAGCGGGGTGGCCTCCTTTCCCATCCCGGGAGTGGCAGCTGCCCTTATGCCTCTTTCTTCCTACCCACCGATTTTGCCAGAAGATCTCACCTTCAAAGACTACACCAGCAGCCCCTGGCAGGTGGCAGCTCGCATCTCAGAGGCCTAGCCTTTGGAATGGGCTTCCTGAGAGGAAGCTGGGCTAGCCCAAAAGACATTCTGTACAATTTTTAATGCATCACTTTCAAACAAACACCAGAGAAATCCAAGAACCCAGCAGGGTTTTGATAGAGGTTTCAAAAATGTGGTTGCGTGGATTTTGTGAGGAATGATCAGTGCGGGCAGTCTCCACAGTCTGTGCCTTTGATTGATACACAATGACAGGATGTCCTTGGCATTGGCTGGAGAAGGAATGGAGGATTTTAAGAGAGAAAGCTTTTATTTTAAGAGAGAAAGCAGGGACGTTTCCTGGCATCAGAGTGGAGGGGGGTCCTGTTGGCCTGAATGCCAGGGCACAGGCTTTTTCTGAAGTGTTCCTCAGACCTCCACACCCCCACCCACCCAAAGCACAGGATGGGGCAGGGGAGGCAGGCCCAGAAGGATAGGTTATACAAAGAGGGAGAAGTTAGCGGCTGTATTTTCAAATGGTCTCTGGCACCGTGCCATAAAGTTACACTAGGAGCCTTCACTGACAGACCCAGATGCACTCAGTGGATCATGGTCTTTTCCTTCACACTGAGCCATCATCCACCCCTACAGGGGGCCAGCATTTGAAACAAGGTGTCTCCCCCACCTTTCTGGTGTCCTGGGGCCCCTTGGCAGTCCAGGGTAGGGAAGCCCTTCCCAGGATGTTTTTAAACACATTAAATAAAATGCACAGGCTTACCAAAGGAACTCTGGGATGGCCTGAACTGTCTGACTTTGGCAGTGACACCCCATTAGGAAGAGCAAACTGAGTAAGGTCTGCTTTCACGGGCCCTTTGTAAATGCTTGTTGGGGGATTCCAAAGCAGAAGTCTAAGAAAATTATCTAAATCAAAGTGCCCCGTTTAGAGCTCTGGGCCTGAAGTCAGGAGGGCCTGAGTTTAAATGTGGCCTCAGACATTTCCTTGCTAGGGGACTCTGGGTCAGTCACTTCACCTATGCCTGCCTCAGTTTCCTCAGCTGTAAAGTGGGGATATGAATAACAACGCATACTTTGTAGTGAAGATCCAATGAGCTCTTGTCTGTAAAGCCCTTTGTAGACCTTACAGAACTATGTCCATGCTAGCTATTAATTTCCCACATCTCCAGTCACCCTTGCTCCAGAGCAGCCTGGTATGTGGGTGCCACAACAAGCAATGAATTTGGATTGGTCTGAACCCAGGTTCAAGTCCCATCTATAAGAGTTCCTGGTTTTGTAAGAAATGACAAGCAGTATGAATTCAGAAAAACCTGGAAAGACTTACATGAGCTGATGCATAGCAGAGAAAACAGAACCAGGAGTAACAGCGACATTGTAGCAATGATCAGCTGTGAATAACTAAGCTCTTCTCAGTGATACAATGATCCAAGATAACCCCAAAGGGAGTTCATGATGAAGCATGCTCTCTGCCTCCAGAGAAAGAACTGATGCTGTCTGAATACAGACTGAAGTAGGCTATTGTTCACTTTCTTTCTTTCATTTTTCTTTTATTCAAATCTTCTTGTACAAAACAACTAATGTGGAAATGTTTTACATGATTGCACATGCATAACCTAAATCAGATTACTTACTGTCACAGGGAGGGGGGAGAGGATAGACTTTGGAACTCAAAACTTCAAATAAAAATTTTAGAAAATTTGGGGAAAAGAATTCCTGGTTTTCTGATCATGGATGAGTCACTGCCTGTCACTCAGGGACATCCAGGGAAGTCCTTTGTGCACCAAAAAGTGCTTCCAGAAGGCATGCATTAGGACTCTGGTCTCTGGATGTCAGCCAGTCACCAATCAGTCAGTCAATGCTTTTCAGCACCTCCAATGTACCAGACCCCGTGTATAAGTGCTGGGCAAAGCTACAGTGATGGCCAACAGCAGTGGCTTCTCTGCCCTGCCCATGGCAGGCTTCCACCCTCACCACCAATGGCCCCCAACCCAATGGTTTTAGAGACTGACTCAGTGCAGCCCCAGACTGCATCCTACCTGAAGTCACCCTGCTTCGTCCAGGTCCTTTCTGCAGGGCAATAGGGCGCCGTGGTTTCCAACACTGTGATCTCAACCCCTTTGGTTTTATTGCCATATCTATTGCTGACCCGACACTCCCAGGATCCTGTGGCATCAGTGCCAATGCTGGAGAGAGTGAGCTCCCTGAAAGGAATGAATGACCAAGACATCAATGAGACACCCAGCTTACCCAGAGGCATGCACAGATATGGCCATGCTCACACTGAAGGGTGGCAGGGCCAGGCCCAGGGGACAGAGGCTTAATTGGGGACCCCTCTCAGAGGGGGCCTTCAAAGTGTAAAGGAAGCTGCACACCCTGCACCCTGGATGAACAGGCCACCTGCAGGTTGTCCCACGGCTGGCAACCTTGGCCATATGCTCATCATGCCTGGGGAGGGGGGGTACTTCCAAAGTGCAGGCCATTGGTGCCACTGGGGGAGGGGCGGCAATGATCCAATATGCCCATCACCACTGCTGGGCACATAAAGGGTGCCCTTCTCAATGAGGAGTATAGAGTGACTTTCTTACTCTGAACCCCGGCACAAAAAGTTCCCATCGGCCTGAGCAGTTGGTTAATGTGCCCAAACAGTCATTAAGCACCTCTTCTGGGCATGGCAACATGCTTCATAGCAAGGATTTTGAAAAATGAAATAATGGTGTCTGCCATCAGGAAGCTTACAGTCACTAAGAGATGGGCCTGAACCAACAGAGATTTTGGTGTCATCTAGGCCATGGAAACCAAGAGGGCCAAGAACCTGCAAACATCCCATAATCACCTGCACATTCTCAGAATACAACCAATTGATCAAAACCAATAGAAAAAAGGTCTGAACTCAGAGCTTTGGGCTTGTCTGGGATTGGGGGATGATTCTTGGCAAAGAAATAGGGACAGCCTCCTCTGGGGTGTAGGTCCATGACCCCTCAAGATGAGACTGGTTACACTTCACCTGTCTGACACAGTTTTATTTTAATTATCTCAAAGGGAAGGGGAAATGTGTGGCAATTGGTCCTGTCTCTATCTTGTTTGTACATGGTGGGTGGCTTGATATCTCCCCCATTAGACTGAGGGCTTCTTTCTTTGCCTCTTCAGTGATGGGCACAATGCCTGGCACATAGTAAATACTTAATAAATGCTCATTGACTGACTGACCAAGTTGTCTGAAGACAACAGGACATAGCTTTGACCTTCTCCAGACGTTCACATGACAACCCAGTCAGCACAGGATCCAAGAGCAGTGGGTAGTAACTGAAGGACACGTTATCTAGATAAGTGAGAGGAATCACTGATCCCAGGCATCAAGTCTCTGTCCAAGGAAGGCTCTGCCCCAATGGAATTCCTCCCTCTGGTGGCCATACCTGAAATGGGCCATGTTTGAGATGCTCCAGTTAAGGCACCTGGGATTCTGGCCAAAGAGGGGCGAGGACACCCAACCTCAGTGGCTTATCCCCAAAATATCATGAAGATTAAAGACCACTAGAGTAAATGAAAAGTCTGGTACCAAAAATATGGCTGTAAATGATAATTCTGGGTAAGGGGAATCTAGGGTGGGACCTCTAAGTGGAGAGAAAACCTGCACACCTGCAAAAACCCCTTGGCTGTGACAGGCAATTTCTTGAAATGAAAGTCTTTTCCAGATAATGCAGAATTTAGGCTATAAAGAAATTGAATGAAATAGAGTATGACAGCCCTGTGTTAATTCCTGGGGCCCCTGCTCTGCCTGCATTCTCGCCAAACCAACCTGAGAAAATCCTGGCTACAAATTTGTCTGAGATTCTGGCAAGAATCATTGTAAAGTTTCCAACATCTGATTTCATTTTGGACAGGTTTTGTTCTAGTTCTGCAGAACTTCACATAATTCAGTGGCTTCAATGGAAAGACTGAGATATTTGCAGTCCATAGAGACCTGTGCTCAAAATCTGCCTCTGACATTCACTGGCCATCTGGCCATGGACTAGCCAATTCATCCTTGGAAGCCACCATTTCTTCATCTGTGCAGTGGGAAGAATACCTCTGTTACCCTCAGGAATCTTTTTTTCCCTGGACCAAATGATGTAAGACATGAGCAGTGATGGACAAACTTGAAATCATTATGTAAATGTCAGCTGAAGTCATCACAGATCTCGCACCACTGCCAACCCCACTTGACCCCATCCCCATCATCATTTCTCACAAAGCTGATATGAGGAGCAAGAGCGATTGTATACATAAAGCTCTTTGTTAATGTTGTAAGTTCTTACCATAGTTCTCAACCAAGGAAACCACTTTAGCCTTATGGGAAAGATACCAGATTGGTGGGATAAGATCTTAATAGGAAAATAGAATAACATACTCAAAAGACACACCATAGGCACAAAGGTAGGACCACAGGTATCATTGTAAGTTAGGAAAATGTAGTATGTGAGGAAACCCAGGAACCAGGGGGAAATACTGTGAGTCACACCTGGGGGAATATCCATGAAGGAAAAACAGTAGTGACATTATAATTGGAGGGTAGGGGAGGTGGTTGGGATGTGTGAGGCAAGAGAAGACTTTGGAATAGCTGTTTTAGAGTGGACTACAGAATCAATCAGGGAAAATGAAATTATTGCCATGCAGTGGTGAGGTCCCAGCTGGCATTAGATAACAGAAAACTGCAATGAACTTCATTTCTAGAGATATATAGCTTTATCTGGGGGCATGCAGAAAGAAGGAGGATTATGGGGGTAATGCAGGGTTGGGGTTTGAGAAAGTGTAACAAAGGGTGGATAAGGGTGAGTAGTTGATAGCATGCAGTTCAACCATTGGACCCCAGCATCCAGACTGGGAAGAGTGGGAAGGGAGGACAGATGAAGAGTGATGGATTAGAGGATAGGGAGGCAAGGAGGCACTGAAGGTCACATGGAGGAAGGAGAATAGATTGAGACTGCATGGGATAGAAGAAGACATTAAAGTTTAGGAGAGTGTGGCTGGAGAAATTCTAAAGTCAGGACCTTAAGATTGTTGGATCCTAGATCTGGGAGGAAACTTAGAGGTCATCTAGTGCAAGCCTCTAATTTTACAGATGAAGAAACTGAGTCTCAAAGACATTAGATGACTTATCCTAGGTAACACACTTAGTGAGACAGTTTGATTTGAACTTGAATCCTGCACCACTTTGGAGAACAAAGGCATGACTATCTCTTTCTGTGGCTATGGTGAAGTAAAGATGGAGGTCGAGGGGATTTAGAGGTTGATGAACTGGAAAGTCAAGGGGTTCCAGGAAACTTTGACATGGATGTGGAGGGCCCCAAGAATAAAAGCAGAGTTGGAGGTGTAAACCAGTTACTGAACAGGGGGAAAGGGACCTGTGAATTGGCAGGGAACCGCAAGAATGATTTGTACTGGGGGATACAGAGGATGTAGTGGACATCAGAGGAAGAGGACTGCCAAGTGATGATCACAAGGAGATAGCCTAGGAGGAGACAGGAATAAGAAGAATGTTTCCTCCTCCTTGCTAGCTTTTTTTCTTTTGGGAGTGGAGATGTCTAAGAGAAAGAACAGCCAGTCTTGGAGAAGGTAGCCTAGGATGCAGTGTCTTTTAGGGAAAAACAGATCCTATCAATGCCAGCTGCTCTCTTCACCACCACCAGCATTGCCACCAGCAGAAGGACTCTTTGTAGTATCATTGCAAACCTCCTTGGTCCAGAGGATCCCTTTTCCAGTGCAGATCCCAAGCCCTCCATATTGTCTCATCCCATATAATCCTTGTCTATTTCTATAAGTCTTCCATAGAAGGTCAGAGGCTGTTCTCTGGTACTAACTCTTGCTGAATTCCTCTTCCTGGAGAAGATGACAACACTTTCCAGAGCATGGAGAGGGTCTGATCAGTTCTGCTGCTGCTGGTGATATAGCCACCTTCAATGGAAAACCTTGTTTGATTCCCCCCCACATTGCCAATGTTCTCCCTCCACAAACTGTCTTGAATGTATTTATGTAATATTAGTATATGCAGAATTACATATCTATTATGTTCAACTACCATTATTGCTGTTGCCAGTGACATTTGTTGTTTTATTCTCATTGAAAACAGCCTGTCTGGTAGTGGTTCTGATTGTGACATATGTACTAAACAGAATGTTAATGAAGATTTAAGGTGCCTCCCCCAAAATGATTTTTCAGGGACTGAAAACATTTTAGACATGAGGACATGCTGCAGAATTAAAGAATTAGCCATTTGGTTCAAGTCAGATGGGAAAGGAATCCCTATAATTCCGCACCCAGCAAGTGGCTTCTCCCACAGATTCTATGGATGATGTTACTGAACCTTGAAGAGGCAATAAAATTTTGAATTTATAGTTTAACTGTCACATGAGCAATCTGCAGAAAAAGTGTAATTTTAATTGTAATCTATGAAGAGACTAAAAGTTTAATTATTGTTCTAGAGAATTACCTGTCATATCTGGAAAGGAATTGTGAGGGGAGAAAAAGAGCTTTTTTTCCTTTCTAAGAGGACCGAATCTGACCTTTGTACCCAGAATAAATAAGAAAAGGATTCTTGAAAAGAGACATTAATTGCTATCCTGAGTGAACCAATGGCCAGGCTGTGAAAAGAATTGAGGAGATAGCAGGGGAAGGGATGGTTAGGGTGATGCTGATGGTCATCTTTTTAATCATTAAAACCTTATAAATATACCTGTTTTATTTGCTCAATTGTAAGTCAATTGTACAGCCAGTAACTTGGATGTCAAATTTAAGTAGAAGAAATTAAGGGCCTGATATCTGGAAAGATGAACAACTATTTATGAGAAAAGAGGTTTCTCCAGTTTATCACATAAGTAGTATTTAATCAGCTGGGGCAGGGGCTCAGGGATAATTGATTAATTAATGAATGACTCTGGGTTGTACCTCCCAGAAGAAAACGTAAATTGTGTAAGGCAAAAACCACAAGGTCACTAGCACTTGAAAGGAAGGAGGGACAAAACCAGGAGTGAGCTTTGCAGAAAGGGATGGAGATGGGTTCCTCAGTTTTGCCTGGGGTCCCTCCTAGGGATAACTGCCCCTCCAGAGACAAGGAAAGGCATTTCCATTTGAACAGTTCTGTGCTTAGAGTCAGAAGTGGATGTATTCACCAAGAGGGAGGTGAAAGAACAGGACAGTATTAGGTCGAACCTGAGCCCATTGACTG